ACAGCCAAAAAGAAACCTCTGTCCCATTTTTCTTTCAAACCACCATCTACAGGCTGTTATTAAAACATGTTTTTTGGCTCTATTCCAATGTGACCTCTCATCTTACTGAAAAACACAGTCTCTTACAAAGTTGTGAATTTTGTCTTTTCTGTTGTCAATTGCAATGAGTCAGTTGTGCCTCCCATACAAAAAAACTAGTGGAACCATAATCTTCTCAGCCTCACCCTGCAGATTTCTTATTGTTCATTTTTGCTGCCCATTCCAACCAAGGGAGAATAAATAGCAGGTAAGTTAGAGCCTTTAGGCTTACTTAAAAGAAGTACAACTCTTAAGGTTTTGGCTCCAAGTGTTTTTGTTCATGCATTGTGCCATTAAATGCACAGAAATTTTGTAATCTGTCATCGTAGTTTTCTTTTTAGATTGTAGAAGCCTACTGTCTCACGTTAAAGGTTCATAAAGGGGAGGCTTCACAAGCTCCTCCTGAGAATGGATTTTTAAAAACTGCTGGCATGCCTGTGAGTTTTGGGTATTGTAGTCGGTACTTGATAATAGGGCATTCATGCCTAGTAGTTTGACGCTCTTTGCAACATTCTAACCAATGTGATAATGATGGGATAATTACAGCATTGTTATTAAATCAGATTAATGTATTTGATACTTTCTATTTTTTTTCCGCAGCAAGTGCAAGAAAAATAACTTGTGTGCTCATTACAAAAAATGCCATTAATGATCTTATCGGGTGAGTCTATGATGAAAGCAGTATGTAAGCCAGGCTTAAGAGATCACTTTACATGAATGCAGCATTGCATGGCAGCATGGGAAGAAAACGAATACTTCCTTTCTGGGTGGATTGCGGGGAGGGAGGGGGGGAGGTGGTGGTACAGCTGCTTGAACTCAGAAGGTATCATAAATGTGCTGAAATAATTTTGCGCAGTCTAAAGTTCATAGGAACTTTTAATATGACAAAAGTCCCAGTGAAGAGGCTTTAGGCTGCGATGCTATGAGAATCAGATTGTCAACTTTTGCTCATTATTACAGCAAATGTTAGATCCAGTGCGACGCCCCACAACAAACCCTGAGAATTTTGATGTTTGCGACTATAATGCACAATGACTGCAGCAACTACTGCAGTGTCCTAAAGGCAGTGAGAATGCCAGTTGCTGAGTGGACTTGGACATTAGCACACTACTTGCTGCAAAAAAAAATCCAAGTCATTTCCCTTACCCGTTATCAACAGAAAAAAAACACAACCGTGTTCACACACAAGTGTATTTACGCTTTAACAGCTGAGAGCAGTGAAAATTATAATGATAGCAAATAATTGTCAGTCCTTACATACGCAAGGATCAGAAAATCATTTCTATTAAATGTGTGCAGAAATTCATACAGCACTGAAGTAGCTATTCAGCCCATCATATTTGTGCCAGCTATTCAATACAGATGACTAATTAAACCCAATTATGTGTTTTTTTTTCTCCATTGCTCTGTAAATTTTCTTTTCTTTTATATTTATAAAGTTAAAGAGTAATTTGATTGAAGTTTCAATATATGAAGGGTTCAGGTTGGGAGAGATTTGTACTACTCTTTATGGAGTCTAAGATCAAAAGTTGGCAACAAAACCTATTAGGGGCGAAACCTGGAAATGTTTCTTCACACAATATCTGGTAGAGGCTTGGAATTATTTTCCTCAAATAGAAATTGAGGCTCAATCGGTTGATAATATTAAAACTGTATTTGATAGATTTTTGTTAGCCAAAGGCATTAAGAGATAAGAATATAACGTGGGGATCTGGGCGTAGGTCGCTTATCAACCGTGATTCAATTGCGTAAGAGAATGCGCTCCAGTAGCCGAATAGCGTTATTCCATTCCTATGTTCCTTTCCAAATATATATCCAGTTCCCTGTTGAACGTTATTACTGAATTTGCTTCCACTGACCTTTCAAGCAGTGTATTGCAGATGATGTTAACAACGATGCGTGTTCCTCCTTTGTCGCACCTTAAATTAACCATACCGAACTAAAAGATTTAGCAAACGCTTGTTTACAGTGTTGTCCCATAGTTACCCTTGCAAACACGAAGACCAAATATTCCCCTTTATCTGTCAACTTAACTGTCAAAAAATAAAGAGATATGGTGGAAAAGATGCGTGTCTCCATTTTCTGTGCTCACTGCAAACGGTGTGCATTGTCCGCTAAACAGTGCACAAGGCATTTGATCTGAAGCCCCCAAATGATTATTCAAAAACCCAACAGTCCTCCTTTAACATGTTTAGGTTTTCAAATTTACACGAGAACCTTTCAAATACAATTCGGTAATTTAAAATGTGTGACACTCTCCTGACATTGTTCCTGTTAATGTTCCTAATCATGAAAAGATGTCGCTGAAATTGCTATACAGCTCTGCAGAGTGGACCAAGGCTGAGTGGATAGTATTCCCACATGCACTGACGGAGCTGGTTGGTTAGCTACGTAGAACATCGGACTCAAACACATTGCAACAGTCCTGATCATTTCTATCTCACCATCTCAAAGGATATTTGAGATTGCCCGATACATCTAGTTTACATATTGCACTTATATCAACCCGCTCTCGCTCTGATCCACAGATGGCAACTGCCCTTGATGAATATTACTTTAAAACGGTGATAATAACTGGCTCCAGCATTGTCCATTGATTTGGGTTTTCTTTACAGTGTAACCTGCAGATTTTCTTTTCCAAAATGCACTTTGCATATGCACAACGGCACATCAATATAATTTTATTTCACTCAAAACTAAAAGGAGTGCAAAACCATATTTAGATCTGGAGGAATCATGTGCAAGTAGATGGTTGTACCATTGTAAAATCAGAAAATAGCATTTAACCCGAATATGGTGCGTCTTTTAAGAGGAAGAGACTTACAAGATGACCAGAATTATTGTAGGCCTTAGTTTTTAAATAATTGATTCTTCAAATAAATTTTAATGTGAAACAATGATTTTAGTTTCTTACTATTTGCACATAGTGCTGTTTTATTAAAGGCAGGTTACCAGTATGGAAAATATTGTTTTGCCTTAACCACTGCAATGTCAGCTATTCTGTTGTGGTGGATTTTTGACTTCAGCTTTTCTTTGTTTCGGTTCCTATTATTAAAACGAATTGGCCCGAAAAAAGCATTGACTATTTTGCAATTTCTGTTGTGATCTTTTTCTTTTGCCAAAAACATGTAACTTTTAGTGTATGTGTGACTCCATCATTATAACAGCTTTCAATCTTCCACTTTCAGTGTCAGCTCCTAACGTTTGCACGCAGAGGAGCGAGGCTCTTCTTGGTGGAAGACAGGACCAAACGTTATCTCTGCTGAGTGATCCTGTGTATCTAGGATCAGTAATTTGACACCAGCAACTCCTGAAGAGATGTCCTGACCCTTCAGTGTCAAACACTAGTAACCAACCAGCTCGCTACAGCAAGTCAAGCAGAGAATGTGCTGAAAACTCAGCCTAAAACAGCTGGAAATGGTTACTTCACAACAACACAAGCTGAGGGAACTGATGCTAAATATCACAACATTTCATACACCCACTGTCTAAAGACTCCAATATATTCAATCTCATGAGCTGACAACTTTTTTTTCTATTCTGTTCACTTTCATGTTTTTAAGCAGCCCTGTGGTTTTGTACCAGTTGAATAATAACATAAAAACAATTTCTTCATAGCTAAATATCCACAACTGTTTATATTAAGTTTTACTTTGATGCATTATGTTTTAGAATCCAATTTAATAATCCAAAATGTTTATGCAAAATTATTTTAAGGATAGCCTGCACACTTACCTGACATTCTTTTAAAAATAAATTATCACTTATATTTAGCAAATTTCCAGAGCCTGGGTTTAAATGCACACTTTCTGAAGCATCAGCTATTTACCGCCTCTCTCAGATTTCTGCTACGATCAATGCATCCTGCTGAAATGCTGCCTACGACATGAATTTCATCCAATTTACAGCATTACACATTAAAGAGGTCCACATCTCTTTGCCATAACCTTGAAATCGTACCAAATACACGAAACTTACAATTGTTGCAAACGGAGCAACAGAATGGCAATGCAGGACTTTTAGGAAAAGCACCGCAGTGATTTTGTGCATTAACCACCTATCTTTTTGCATTGGGACTTTGATTAAAGACAACATGCTTTATTGGCACTCAACTAACTACAGGGCAAACTGGGTAACCTCTTGTCTGTTCCCACCATTAGAAACGTCCATTTCATAATGAAAATTAAAATTCATAATGGCTATTGATATGGCATAAACACCTCCTACATAAACGAACTCCGGCCTCTGAAAACTTCCATCCACACAGTATTCAAACAGAATACAGCATGCTAAACATACCAAGGGGCTTTTCTTTCTATTTTCTTATTACTGTTGTTCAATTAGCCCCACTGTTTCATTGAAAGCATGCATGAGAGGACGTTAATATGCACTGGCAGTTCCCACAAACAATATTCCTCTCAAGCTTTTCCAAGCTAGCATGCAATAACTGGCAAAGAATGCAGTTAAAAATCATCAAAATAACATCAACCAGTAACTGTGCCCACTTAATGCAAATACAAAGCAAAATTCAAAATTTGAACTCTTGCGTTTAAGTACTGGCCTTACAACAGCAAATAGATTATGTTACAGATTAAAGGCAGTGATTTTCCCAATGACACGAAAAAAATCTGCTATTGCTGTGGGATTTAATGTATAATTCTTGGCATAGTGTCAGAATGATTCTGGAGTGCCAAAAGTATGGTAGGGGACAGGTACCCAGAGTGATAATGCTAATAGGAGTGGAGATTACACACATGGGTATGTTACAGTAATAATACAGATTTGAACTTATGTATTATGTAACACACTTTGACGGCGCCTCTTGACTTTTTTGCACACTTGAATTTATTTTTCAATAATAAGCAAAACAAAGAAAAGGGATCAAGTGAGGGTGAGAATAAAAGACATCGGAGAAGCACATGTCAAAATAAATGCCATTTGAATGACTTTAATAAGCATATAATAGAAAAAAAACAGTCTTCACAGAACAAAAGAGAAAAAAAAGACAGAAACCTTTTTTTTTGGATAACACCACCGTACTCCAGTTCGGAACAGATAATTGAAAGGCATTGTCATTCCCATAAGCTGTCTGCTTATGATCTCTTCAGGATTTATGGGAGCAATTTTTGTGAGCAGTTAATGAATCTGAATAAGGTCGTTTCAATCACTACAATCAATGTTTTATTTCTCTCTTCTCGACTGGAGAAAAAAATCATGCTTTAACAATATTTAAAAAGTAAAGAAGCACAAATGCCTTCACGCCGTCTAGTTATATTCATGTTAACTTAACACTTTTTATTCATTTTTAAAAAAAACTCACTTAGGTCAGACGCCGTTTTGCATCCGCTCAGCAGTGCGCGGTTTACAAAGAGAGTTTTCAATTTGGTCACACTGTCAGTGCTTCTTACACACTGACCTTGCACAACAGAAAAGAATGCATACTATCGAGAATTAAAGAGAGTACATTTTTCAAGCATCACTTTGGTGTAAAGAAGACTTTAGCCGACCAGCTTGGCTAATGGAGTCTTCGTACACTGTCAGTAATAAAAAATAGTTTCAATTTCAGATTTTTCTTAAAAAAAACTTTAAAACATTCTCACTACAGTGACTGCATGTTTGTTAGCAAGCATTGGATTTACAACATACAGAACCCAAAACTTGACCTTTCTGTCTCTGTCTCCAGAATTGGCAGGGATTTAGGAAATAAACCGCATTTATAAAACAAATACAGCTTCCTACTGTGTGATGAACAGTTTACAATTGGAGTATCCAAAAAAAATCTAAATTTAAAAAAGAAAGTGTCATTGTCTTAAATCAGCTAAATTCTGAAGCAATCATCGCCCATGTTCTGAGCGCCAGGTAAAATTAACACGTTAATGGCACAAGGAAAGACTGTTGCTAATGGTATGGTATATATTCATATCTGTCCGTTTCCTTTGAAAAAAAAACTGCAGCAAACAAAACAACAAGGGAAATAAAGTAACCAAAACAAAGAAAGAAGATGCGCAGAAGTTACAATGTTGGTTTCTGTTAAAGCGGAAAATTGCTCACAACTTTCCTCCCCCCCGAAAAAAAAGTTTCATTAAAAAAAACACAGCCTGCTGAAATGGTTCAGTGCATATGGACACAGTTCTTGTTGCATTTATTTACAAGCTGTTATATTCGTCAGCTAAAAACCGAGGACTGCACAGACAGTAAAAAGTTCAACTATTCTGTGATAACTTCTTTCAAATACACAAGCTAAGACCAACGCCATGCCGAATGGAAAGTAAACTGGTACAAAATAGAAATTATTACCATACATGTCCAGCATGCAGGATTAATTTGTGTGTGTGTGTGTGTGTTTTAAATGCAGGTTTTCTATTTTTCTCTCTCTATATATAACCAACACAGGCAATATACATGGATGGGCTATGTTGTAGATAGGTATCTCTCTCGCTCTCGCTCGCTCTCTCTAACAACTCTCAAGCAGGCATATGGATGGGGTGTTATAGATGGAGGATGGCAGGCGTTTGGGGACTCACATGAAGAAATCTGGAGACGGTGGGTTGTCGCTGGTGGACCCAGCCTCTCTGAAGCCATTGCTGGCGAGTTTCTCGCACTTGAGTTTGTAGGCGTCTCGCTCCCTCATCAGCCTGGCCACCTCTTGCTTGAGCTGCTCGACCTGCTGGATGAGTTGGGTCTTCTCGTTCTCCAACAGGTGCTTCTGCTGCACCCGCTTGTAGCGACAGGACTGCGCGTAGCCGCGGTTCTTCAGGGTCCGGCGTTTCTGCTTCAGGCGGATTACGTCGTCTTTGGAGAAGCCCCGGAGGTGCCTGTTCAGCTCCCGCACCGACATGCTGACCAGCTGCTCGTCCGAGAACCTGTCCTCGGCGTGGAGGCCCGGGTGATGGGGAGAGCTCTGGATCTGCTGGGAGGGGGATGAGGTGCCCGAGGCTGGAGAGCCGTGCTGCTGCTGCTGCTGCTGTTGTTGCTGTTGGTGATGGTGGTGGTGCCCATGGTGATGGTGCTGATGGTGGGCACCCGCACCGTTGCCCAGCTCGTCCGGGCTCACACCTGGGTACTGGTGGTGATGGTGATGGTGGTGGTGATGGTGACCCCGGAACCCTTCATAGCCCGCTTGTTGTTGCTGTTGCAGCTGGACAACGTGAGCGCTGCCGATCAGAGCCTCCACCGCGTCCTCCGGGCTGAAGTTCAGCGCCTCCGGGTTCAGCTGCTGGTAGTTGGCCGTCATCCAGTACAAGTCTTCCAGGTGGGTCTTCTGCTCGGTGGGGCTGAAACTGGGGGAGGAAGGCACCGAGCTGCACGGCGTACTGATAGGGGTGGAAGAGACCGAGCCCGCGGGCTGTAACCGGTTGCAGTGTCTCCCGGAGCGGTCAGTTCCCAAGGGTTCCTTCTTCACGTCGAATTTCATCAGATCAAAGTCATTGACATACTCCATGGCCAGCGGGCTGGTAGGCAACTCTGCATTAATGGCCAGCTCTGTAGTCATTGCTTTCAGTCTGTTTCTGGATGTTCTCGACACTTTGAAAGTCCCTGGTTCTGCTTTCTTTTATTTCTCTCTCTCTCTTTCTGTTTGTTGCCCCTGTTTGGACAGATGTCCTCTTACTCTCTCCCCCCCAGCGTCTTTGCACGGACGGTTCTCAGTAAGTAAAACTTCTCTGAACGGCGCGTTGCATGGAGAGAGGCAGAGAGAGAGAGAGAGAGGTGGGAGGGAGAAAGACTTTTTTATGCTTGCCTGAAGCTTCGTTGTCACAGCGTAGCGATCCCTCTGTTAAACTGCCTGGGCTGACGTTCAGCAATCAGCTGCCGCCGCTCTTGAAGCGAGACGAAGAAATAAAACAGCAGAAAAGAGGGGACATTAAAAAAAAAACCCTCGGAGGGGGGAGAGGGTTAAAAAAATGATCAAAAAGCACCAGGATTTAAGGAGGAGGTTGGGTTTTGTAGGGAGGGGGCAGGGAAAGAGGCGAGCAAGTTGTCCGGATTTGCCCCTCCAATGCTGCCGAGCCCCCGGTGCAAGTTCTAAGTCCTGTCTTCCCGGACCAGATGAGGTAAAACGAGAAAGCAGTTGGTTTTTGGAGAAAACCAGGAGCGTTTCTGTTGCTGATTTTTTTCTGTGTGTTGCTGCTGCCGCTGCCGCTTCTCTCGGCTCAGCTGTACCTCTCTGCAAAAGGGGGAAGAGAGAGAAAAAAAAAAATAAATTAAAAAAAAAATCACCCACAACCAATCTGCTGCTGATCAGGCAGCTTTTAGCACAGATTGCAAATCTCCTTTTTCTTAAAAGAGTATATAACCCCCCCCCGGATCACGTCACCCCCAGGAGGCGGGCCTCCAGCCGCCCCCCCGCCAATCAGCGCCTCCACAACGAGGAATTAGCATAATAGGATAGAAACAAGGGAAGTGGAGTTTGACAATTAGAGCCAATCAGCTGACAATCAGCTGGGCAAAGGAGAGCTGCCAAACCAGCCTTCCCCAGCCCAAAGACAGATCCAGAGACCAATACACAGCCCAGAAACAGATCCAGAGGTATACACACAGCCTCCCTAGCCCCCCCAAAACGGATACAGAGACATACACGCAGCCTTCTCCAGGCAAGAGGCATGTACATAGCCCTAAGACAGAAACAGAGACCAATACACAGCCTAAAGACAGGTAGAGAGGTATATACACAACCTTCCCCAGCTCAAAGACAGATACAGACACATATGCAGCCTTTCACATCTAAAAATAAAGGCAAGATTCATGTACACAGCACAAAGACAAATGCAGAAACAAGTATAGATACATATACGCTGCCATCTCTAGCCACCCAAAAAATAGAGATATCATTGACAAACACAGAGTTACACACAGACCACAGATATATACAGAGCCACACACATAGCCTCTCACTGCCAATGTCAGATACAAAAACACATACATAGACCCAGCCAGAACACAGATTCAGAGACATATACATAACCCAAGGACAGATACAGAGGCATATACACAGCCGAAGGACAGACAAATGAATGGCCAAAAATGTATAAAGAGACATAAACATAGCATCTACAGTCCAAAAACAATTATAATGATATATATGTTATTTTCCCCAGCCCAAAGGCAGATACAGAGATACACTGAGCTTTCTCTCTATTCATCCTCTAACAAGTAATGTTGCACTCCACTCAGATCCTTCCACAACCACAGTTATAACAGCTTCTCTCTCACAGCCGCTGTCTCCACTTCATTTGCAGCGGCCATGACCACTTTCCACCAACCCTTTCCTTTCCATTTACAAAGGTTTCACTCTTCACCAAATGCCATCTGATTCCTAAAGCTCCTGGTTCTTCTACCTATTACGCACTGATCACAACCCCAATACACATGGATGATTACCCAAGTACATACTGACCATCAGCCTAATACACACTGGCAATAACCCTAATACACAGTGAACAAGTCCCCAAAACACATTGGCTGTATATCTCAGTACACACTGATCATGTCCGCCAATAAACACTGATGACATGCACCAAAAAAGACTGACCATAAACCCAATACACACTGGCGATTACCCCCAAAACAGGCTCACCATAACCATATTCCCCGATATTCATTGACCATATCCCCCAAAACACACTGACCTATCCTCAATACATACTGACCATATCCCCCAATACACACTGGCCGTATCCCCAATACACACTAACCAAACCTTATGGTGTTCGTTTGATTTCTCACCCCAGCAATTTTGACGTTTAGTTTCTTTGTTGTGCTTATTTGACAGAATAGTCTCTTTCTGCACCTCGCTCTCCCTCTGTCTTGTTGACTTACTGGTTATTCTGTTTTTCTTTATCTTTCTTGACCGCTGTTAACTCTCTTTTTGACTTTATCTGTGTTCCTCTTTTGATCTTCTTCGCTCTCCCTGATTCCATCCCCCCATCCCCACCCCCAGTCGTCGCTGGCTTTCTCACTCTACCTGCCTTTCGTAATCTCTCTCTCCTGTATACATCTGTCTCCCGACAGATACTTCACACTGCCCCTTCCTTTCGGTCTTTCTTGCCCTTTCATTCTTTGACATTCTTCTTCCAGTCTTTTTAGGATCTCAACCTTCCACTCTCACGCACTCCATCTCACTGACATTAAACCAGACAGCACATCCAGTCCCCCTTTCCGCGACCCTCTCCTTTTGTTTTATATATACACATGAAACTTTGGGTTTACCGCGCTGTCTGAAAGCAGACTAACCGGGTGCAGCGACAGCGTGGAGATGAACATCGATCAGCTCGCTATGCTTACAGCCTCGCTGTTCTGAAGCCAAGTGCAGCATTTGCTGTACGAGAGAGAGAGAGAGAGAGGTGCTGGGGGTGTTCTAAAGTTTTTTTTAAACCAAAGGTCGAACAGAGCGCGTTTTATGAAGGAGTTGTAAATAATTGCAAATAAATATCTAAACTCAGGTAATCAAAACCCTGCGATCACCCTCTGTGACATGCAGTACTTTGCACCATTCTTAAAGTATACTTTATAATTTAGCTTCACAGAACATCGTTACTTTGTACCAGGTGGGTCGATATTGTTTCCTCTACGTTTACAGACTGTCACACCCCCGCCCCCCCGGACCCTTTCCTCCTCACATCACCCATTCCACTTTTCCCAGGATACGGGCAGTAAAACATAGCCTGCAGGTTCACCCCTCTCTGTGCAATACTTGTAAATTAAAGGACATTAAAAAAAATACAAAACTGTGATTGGTCGCTCGGTTCTGGTACACATGCATCATAGCACTTGGCTGGAAGCATGCTTGACTGGCCTGGCATGTTTCAGCACAGACTCACAGGCACATGGATAGCTCTACAAAGTGCGACCCCGTGTGTTCAGATCAGAGCGCAGGGGAAAAAAAGGAGAGATCGCAGCAATCAGCCAGCTACAGACGCGGAAGAGCGGCACAAGAAACTGTTACGGTTCTCAGCACCGTCCCGCAGATACTCCTCCTGTATCAGAGCGGACAGAAGAGCCCATTTTCAAACAATGGTTTCAAAAGGGCGAGTAAAGGGGCAGGAAAGCCTTTGAAACCGACATTAAACTTAGACTGGTTGGTATAACAGTTGCTAACACCGAACGTCATGTTAAATATTAATAGTTAACGCCTTCAGTAGATGGTTAGCATCTAGTGCATTGTGTGTCTGTGAAAATATCCGGTACTCCAATATCTAGATATGTCTATTACCTCCTATTCCTTACAGCTTGTGCGAACCCCTCACTACAGCTTTCTCCCTCATTTATTTTAAAATAGGTTCAAATTAGGGATGAACCATATCCAGTTATCTCTGTTTTTTAAAAAAACTGGTATTTCATATTTATCGATACAGAATCTGTATCGATAAATATTTGTATGAACGAGATTTCGGTGATCTAACGATTAGTACCTACAAAAACCACGATAGCTTTCTCTATCATTATATATTTTAAAAAATGTTCGATATGTAAGCCCAGCGTTGCGACGTGTAACAACGAATTCCCAGGCTTTTCCACTATGCTAGGCGCATTTTTGACTCTGAGCATCGCCGCTCTCCACAAAGCCCAGTTTAAATAGTTACAGGCAGCCGCGGATATGTATCGTTCAATTTGTTCTGTGTTTATTTAATAAAAAGAACGAGCGAAGAGGACGAGGATGCAGCGATAACATTGTCCTGGAAGAACGTGTAGAGAGCATTTGCAGCATCCTTCTGTCCATTCGCTGGTACTCTCAAACTTTCCGAACCACATTCCTACAATTCCTGGGCTGGGAACAGCGGGTCAGTTGCTGAGAAAACAAAAAAAAGCTCATTTCCATTCATCGTTGCTTTTACAATCCCACAAGAAGCGAGGAAATAGTCACCTCGACAATAACAACAAAGTTTCAAACAATATTCTCACAGTGAGAGCAAGGTGACAGGTGTGAGTGCATACAAATGTAGAAGGGACGATTAAAAAAAGACATATATAATCCATCGGCTGAAATCTATTTGGAGACAGTATCTCAACATTTAGTAATATGTTGTTGAAGTTGAGACTTTCCCTTCAGTTGTAAATTCAATAATTATCGATCATAGATGGAAGAACATGATCAGTTTTATAATGGAGATATTTTAAAATAAATAGTGAAGACTCAGAACATCGCCTAAACCAAATATTGAGTATAATTTTATTCCTATTCCTCGAGTAGATCATTTTATTTCAGTTGACCGAATATAAACAGTTGCAACCAATTTTGTATTGGGATGTAAATAGACTAAAGGGGCATTTTTTTTTTAGTTGGAACCCATGTGAGTGGTGGCTTTTCCGCAGTGTTGTGTTACACGGACTGGGACGGAGTAACATGAGACGGAGATCAGGACTATAGATTTTAACGCAGAAAATCTTTTCCAGGTCTGGAATGATAAAAATGGGGCTAAAACCAAATGCGGGAGTTCCCAGGTCCGACCTTAAAACTAGCGAGAGTCGGTGACCAACAAAACATCAGTCCTGGAAGTGTCCCGGGCCAATTTGGAAAATAAATCTGTTGACCTTGCTGCTGCTTTATTTATTAGATGCAAGTTTCAATCTACCTGAAAATGAATGATATTAATAAATCTTTCTTGATAGGAGCTCGCTTGTTTATAGAGGGTATTTAAATGTAATTTGAATGGGAGGGAAACCCATTTGATTACAGGCTCTGCTCTCCCGCACCCCCCCTCCCCCCACCCATCGCAACCGCTCCCACGTTATTTGCTATCAGGGTGAGTTGTAAATAATTATTCCCCTTTCTCGTCCCCTTGCCATCGAGCCAAATATCCCAGTTTCCTCTCGGATCCGTGGTTCCTTTCTTGAAATCGCGAAGGGACGGAGTTGAGATCGGTTTGATTGTAAGGCTTGGGGTTGGATTGCTCTCCCTGGTCTCGGTTGGCAAGTTTTAAATACCTACATGAATATAGCGGACGGTAACTATATTTTCGACATCTATCCCTCTTCAGGACAGGGTCGATGTCACACGTGCCCAGAGGAAATGAATGATAAGGGCTTGGAAGGAAGAGGGAGAGCACTTTAACTCTCTCCTGAACTTCACAGGGTATGGGCAGAAAGCCTTCGAATATCTATAACTACAGGAAAAAAAAGCGAGGACGTATATGTAGATCGAGAGATGAATCTGGACCACGCTAAATTAGGTTAATAATGGCCTATTTAAACACAGCAGACGGGCCTATCTTACAAGGAAGTCACCTTCCATATAGAAACCGTATCGTTTACTCACAACCCGTTAGAAATTGACTAGGTTCTGACCGAAATGGAAATCATCTGCCTGTTGTTAGGATTGCTTGATCTTCCGCCTTTCACTCTCTCCCACCCCTGACCTCAGGCTTTGGAGCTGGGACAACTGGGAGTCCTGGGCGGGGCTGTGAAAGTTGCGAATGCCCCCCTCCGCCTGCCTCCAACCGCAACCCCCCCACCCCGCCCCTGATCTCTATGCACTAGTCCTGAGTAGGTAAGTGACTGACTCGATCCTTTTATTACAGCCATCTGTTTAGAACAATGTGTGAACACTAACACACACTGACACTAACACACAAGCTCAGACATAAGAACACACTGACACGCAGAAAGATAAACCCTGACACAGAGACACTCACTAACACACACTGACATACACACAGCGACACACTAACACACACTGATACTAATACACACTGGCATACATTAACACACTGACACGAATACACTAACACACACTGACACTAACATCACTGACACTAACACACACACTGATGCCAACACATAAGCATTCACTGACATGAACAGGCACTGACACTAACACAACACACTGACACTAACATATTCTGACACTATCACGCACTGAGAGTAACACACTGACAGCAACACGCACTGACACCTGCATACACCATCACCACACACTGACATTAACACACACACTCACTAACACATACTAACATTCACTGACACTAACAGGCTCTGACACTAACACTCCCACTGATACTAACACACTCTAACATTGACACGAACAGGCACTGACACTAAAAACATTGATAACTACACACACTGACGCTAACATATACTGACAGCCATACACTGACAGTAACACGCACTGATGCTAGCACACAGCATCTCCACACACTGATACTAACACACACGTAATGTTCACACACAAGAGGCACGGAAGTATCTCCCGGCACTCATTTTATCCGTCGCATCCATGCTCTAACCAGCAGAAACAAAGGTGCGATGAAATATAGTCACACCCACACACACAGACACAACACTCGTTCACTGAGGCCAATGCGTCACAGTGCACAGTGAAACACACTGCGTTTGTAAACACCAAACGAGTAAAATGAGACACCCGTTCACACGTTACCCAACCACAACACACACGCTGTCACATACATGAGGGGACAAGCTAGTCCCCACCCCGCTTTGTCGTTCATGGACCATTTTGCCGACGACCAGATATATTTACACCAACCAGGCTTTGTTATTAAAGTTTGCAGAAATGGCTATCACTGGTAAAACTAAACCATTTTATCCTTTAGGAGTCTTTCAGTTAAATGGAATTTGAATAGAACAGGACAGGGTGATGGAATATCGAATTTCAGGACAGATATACAGAGTGGATGGAGTGTGGACCGAGACAAGCGTTTTTAGAAGAACATTCAGAAAAAGGGGATCCAATTAATGCCGACAATATATTCACCCCCTTAAACTTTACAATCTCATTCCGTTTTCTCAATTCAACACCACCGAACTATTCGAGATTTGAGACATTTAAAATAAAACTCAGCATCTTTCGAATAAGCGGAAATACAGCCAAACGAGGCGTTTTATATATTGTTTTAAAAAAAACCAAAGATCAGACAAGTTTAACTTTGTTTTGTCCCCAGTTTGTACCGAAACTATTAATGCCCGAGTCTGAAGCGAAGCGAAGCCACTGTTAACGGCCTACACAGTGTTGATTCAGTCCCTTCGCATTTAGTAGAAGAAACGACAGCAGGCGTAAAGTCGAGGAGGGGTTGTGGGTGAGGGGACGGCGGGCGGGTAGAGAAGGCTCAAATCAGAAAAATAAGAACTGAAGAGGTAACATGGAGAACGAGCAACACAAGAGAGCGGGAAACGAGCGAGAAAAAGTGCGCTGAGAAATGAGTAAATAATGGGCAGCTCAGTGTTTTGATTTACTGTGTTGGAACTGTTCTGAAGAAATGATCTCTTCAATAATTCATCACAGCTTTATGCAGGACAGCTCTGTCGATGCTTTAAGCGGCTTATGTTAACCTGAGAGGCGATCACTCCATGATGTGCCCATGGTCCCTGTAAAGGCAAGGG